GAAAACAACCCAAATGTCCATCAACAGCAGAGTGGATACTTTCTCGTAAATTCCTAGAATGGAATGCAGTAACGTAATGCTGAGAATGATGGACTAATGCCACATGCAAAAAAGTTGAATCTCAGAAACTTAATCTTAAGGACAATGAGCCAGATAGAGGATACATGCATTATAGTTCTATTTATATAAAGTTCTAAAACAAAACAATGGCATTTGGAGATTCATATTTGAGTGGTAAAGCTCTAGAGAAAAGCAATAATAATAATAATAATAATAATAATAGCCGTAACTGTCATGAGAGTGGTTTGATGGGTAGGGATTTCCTGAGTATGGCAATATTCTATTTCTTGATCTCTGTGGTGATTTGCCTTATAGTAATTTGTTAAGCTGTATATTTACACTTTATGCATTTTCTGTTTTTCCCCCCTTAAGTAAGAATGTCTTAGAACCTGAAGATAATATTAGGATCTATCTCAGGATTTATTCTGAGAATGAAATGATGCCATGTAGAGTTCTTAGAATATGCCTGGCACTTTGTAAGACTTTAATAAATGTTAGCTATCGAAACCCAACAGAACACTGCTGTTATTATGGTTTTTCTTATTTGTTGCCAGGACTTCTCAGCTTGCTGTTTCTCTTTTATTTCTGTTAATGCTGTCTTCTGAGTTATTGGTGTTTCCTTTTTCACTTTCATCACTCTTAACTCAGAAATCCCTCTCCAATCCAGAGATCAAATAAATATTTATTTTCTTGCAGAATTAAAAGGGGTTGCCTTTGAATGTTTGATCCTTTTAATTCTTTCAACAACATATATTATTTCAGAATTTGTACATAATTGCACAAAATCTACATTTATTTTTCAAATTGACCTGAAATTCATATTTAGTGTCATAATGAGGGAAAGCAAACTGTTCCTTTTTTCTAATGTGGTAGTGAAGTCTCCCTAGCACCACTAATTGTACAATTAATCCCTCCCCCACGGATTGCTGCTGCTTTCTCCTCTTGCATATGTTAAATTCACAACTATTTGTACCTAAAGCATAGGCAGGAAACAACACAGTGCTTGAATAGAATGTAATAATGCAACTGAAGACCGGGGAGGGGGTAGTTGTCAGGCAGCAGGAGGTCTGGCTGCAGCCCAGCAGGAAAGAAAAAGATAGAAAAAGCCTCCTTTCTGTCAAACCAAAGTTCCTTAGAAGATTCCATCCTTGGGGCACCTGGCTGACTCAGGTCATGATCCCAGGGCCCTGGGATGGAGTTCCAGGTCAGGCTTCCTGCTTGGTAGAGAGCCTGCTTCTACCACTCCCCATGCTTGTTCTCTACTGCTCTTTTTCTGTCAAGTAAATAAATAAAATCTTTTAAATCTTTTTTTAAAAGATTTTATTTATTTATTTATTTGACAGAGAGGGAGAGAGAGAGAGAGAGATCACAAGTAGGCAGAGAGGCAGGCAGAGAGAGAGAGGGAAGCAGGCTCCCCGCTGAGCAGAGAACCCGAGACGGGGCTCAACTCCAAGACCCTGAGATCATGACCAGAGCTGAAGGCAGAAGCTTAACCCACTGAGCCACCCAGGCGCCCCAAAATCTTTTTTTTTTAAGATTTTATTTATTTGTCAGAGCGAGAGAGGGAGAGAGAGCGAGCACAGGCAGACAGAATGGCAGGCAGAGGCAGAGGGAGAAGCAGGCTCCCTGCCAAGCAAGGAGTCTGATGTGGGACTCGATCCCAGGACTCTGGGATCATGACCTGGGCCGAAGGCAGCTGCTCAACCAACTGAGCCACCCAGGTGTCCCAAATCTTTTTTTTTTTTAAAGAAGTTTTCATCCTTGTGTGTGACATCCTTGTGTGTTCCATCCTTGTGTGTGACTTGCTCTTACGCTGTTTGGCTAAGCAATTCATATGTGTAAACCTTGGTCTTCTCAGGTGTCATGTGCAGATAGTAATAGCACCTATGTCAGAGGATGCTGTGTATGAGAACTAACTTTAGGAAGGAGCACTGGCTATGGAGTCAGCCAGGAGTCTCATCCCTGGCTCCACCACTAATTATCTGGCATGACCCTAGGTAGTTTCCTAAATTTCCAGCCTGTTTCCTCATCTGAAATAGGTGGCAATTACTAGTAATTGAATTAGGGGTGCCTGGGTGGCTCGGTCAGTTAAACCTCTGCCTTTGGCTCAGATCATGATCCCAGGGTCCCGGGATCAAGCCCTGATTTGGGCTCCTGACTTGGTGGAGAGTCTGCTTCCCTCTCCCTTTGCACGCCCCCCCCCCCACACCTTGTGCCTTCTCTCTCACTCTCTCTCAAATAAATAAATATAATAAAAAAGCTTTAAAAATACTAATTGAAATAATGTCATCTAGTAAATTAGAGGGGTGCCTGGATGGTTCAGTCGGTTAAGCATCTGTTTTCCACTCTGGTCATGATCCCGGAGTCCTGGGATTGAGCCCCACATGGGGGGCCCCTGCTCAGTGGGCAGTCAGCTTCTCCCTCTCCCAATGTCCCCCTCCCTGGCTTGTGCTCTCTCTTACTCACTCTGTCTCTCTTAAATAAATAAATAAAATCTTTAAAAAATAATTTAAAAATAGTAAATTAGAAATAGTAACAGTAAGAGCTATCTTTTGGGGTTACTGTAATATTAAAGGGCTACTGCATTTAATGTGCTTGGCATGAGAGTATTTGGCACATAATAAGTTTTGAATAAATTGTAGTTGTGGTAGTTTTAATTTCTATTGCTGTTTAGGAAAGATCAGGAACAGAAAGAAGAAGATTCAGCAAGGGAGACTGAGAAGCAGGCACTGAAAAGATCTGGGAGGGGGAAACTATGAGATGGGTATCAAAGACCAAGGGAAAATAGTACCTAGAAGGAGGGGAATAATGCAGAGGAAGGTCATGCTAGTCTCTCCTGAAAAGAGACGCATTCCATCTCTTAGCAATTAATGAGAGTGAAGGGGAAAGGAAAAAAAAATTCTCAAATGAAGGCTATCAGACCCAAAATTCTCTAAAAGCCTTCTCTTGGCTAACTCCCTTAGTTTGATCTGAATGCCCAGATCCCCCAGGGAAAATACATATGTCCTGAATACTGGAAAAGCCAATGTTACACAAAGTGAAATAAAGTATCAGGTTTGCATCATTTGGGTGAAGTAAAAAATTTGGACAGTTTTAAGTGTACAGGATGAAGAGGAGGGTGGGGGAGGGAAGAAATGAAGATGAATTATAGAACAGGTTTGCAAAGCTGTGGTCTATATTGAACCCCCAAGCTAACACCAGTGAAAAGGAAGGCAGTGGTAGGCATCATATTCATTTTTCTTTTTCCCCTACCTGGTCCTAGAAAGAAATTATGACAGCATAAACTGTTTATTGGGATAAATTATTTCAACAAGCATTTATAGAGTAAAGCTGAGAAAAGGCCATACTTGAGTCTAGAATAGATGAATGGGCAGATCCCCTGCAAGGGAAGATTTAGAGAAAGGGAGGAATAAAGGGCTTATAGACCAAGAGTCAAGGAATGTTGGTGGCCTCTGTGGCTTTGGGAGCCTGAGTGGAGCTTCCTGTGGCCTGGGGGTGGGGGTAGAGTCTCTTTTGGCTCTGGAAAGAAGGAGGTAGCTGCCAGGGGCCCAGAAGTACCCACAGAGGGATGCAAGAAGTGGACCTTGTTGTTACAGGATTTATTTTCCTTTGGTGCCCATAGTTCTTGGCCATGCCTCTTCTGAAGAGGGAAAATGTAGGCCAGATGAAGAGTGGTGGGCAGCAGAGCAAAGTTCATTGAACGATAGTAAAGTTTATTGAACCATAGTACAAAGCTCCCGAAGAGCGAGGGGACCTGAGAGGGCTGCCACTGGAGTTTCTGAGTCTATGGGATTCTTTGGGCTTGTTGGCGAGCTGTTTTAATCTGACTAACCCTCCATGCACCTGCCATACAATCAGGTTTTTGTCATCTACCTGTCACATGGGAAAGGGTGGAGGGCTCCTTCTAGGGTGGTGTAAAATCTTTTTAAGTGTGGTTTCCTCTTAGGGCAGGGGCCTCTTGTCCCTGCCTGCCTTTCTTCCAACTATCCTTCATCACTCATGAGCCTTTGCCCTGTCCAGTTCTCTGCTAAAGGGTCTGAGGCAGAAGGCAGAAGGACCCTCCCAGGTTAAGGAAGTGAAGCTTAAGGCAAACATGGGGTGCTAAGGCTAGGGGAAGGATGCTGGTAGAGCACAGGAGGCTGAACCTCCACCTCCCTCCATTGAGAGAGAGTGTGTGGCTTGTGGGGGAGGCCATGAGGTCAGATTATGGGGTCAGGGATGGAGCAGGAGCAGGAGCAAGGAGCCAGGGAGGAGTCTGGAGATAATTCTGGAAGGAGAAGCACTTCTTGGCAGGTTCTGGGTGTGGCAGCCCAGGGAAGGCTTCAGTGGTCTACTCACATTACCTGGCTTGTACCCCTCCCTGGAGGCCTGAGGTTGTACCCCTCTGTCCCTGTGGAGGGGTCATCAACTGCTGGCATAATTAGAGCCCCAAACACCTCCCTCCCCTCAGGACCACACAGCCCAGGGTTCTGGGTGAAAGCTCCAGAGTCTGCCATTCCTATCAGTCCTGATGTGAACCCCCTGCCCTGTCAAGGTGCCCTCTCCTCTGCCTGTCTTCTCCTCTCCCTTCCCTCTACAGCTCTATGCTGCCTCTCCTCCACACACTGTCTCCTCCTGTGGCACACTCTGTCTTCTCAGCCCTATCTCCTTCCTGACAAACTCCCTCAGGTCTGCATTGATTCCACTCCCTGCCTTAAATAAAATCAGCTGCCATCAACCTTGTCCTGCTCACAGGGATAGGAACCAATATACCTACGAAGAACAAGGAATCCCTAAGGACAGAGGGTCATTTTTTATCACCCTCCAATCTGAGGTCATGAGATGGGCAGGAGCAGGTATCCAGGGAAGTTCTTCTGTGATCTCTTTTTTCCTATTAATGTCCTCAGTTCTAAAAGAGCATGTGGGCTTTCTGATTCCCATATTTTTTCATACACCCTGACACCCAGATGACTTTTCATCGTTCCTTGGGTATTCCCATTTGTTGGAGCAGGACAAGGTTAGCTTTGACTCCTTGGGCTTCTTGGTGTCCTCTAGCCTGTAACCAGGGGGAGGCTTGGGAGGTGCTGAGCTTCCTGGTAATAAATTCTCATGAGTAGCTGCTTTCTCAGTACTGAGGGAGAAAGCAGAGGGTAGGTCAGCCCAAAAGACAGTCTTATTGATGCCACCAGCTGTTGTCCAGAAGCAAGAGCCACAGTCTAACGAATCTACTCTACTCCTTCCCAAAATGAATAGGAATGGAACTCCTGAAATACCCATTTCCCTTTTTTGCCCCCACCCCTGTCCATCAACACATTTCTCAGGATACATTAGAGAAGAAAGCATTGCAATATTAACTAGTGGGTGCAGATTTAACCCTGACCTAAGAGACAGGTCAGTTGTGATAAAGGCCTTTTTGGGAGAAATTCAGCCCATTTCAGCTTCCCTTTTCTTCATCTGTAAATGAGGTTGGTTAAAAACTCTATTTCACCATATGACCTTCCCCCACTAAAGCTTCTATATTTGATTCTTATTCATTTTTCCTCTATATTCCTAAAAGTAACATCACACACAGAGACATTGAACTTGATGCTTATATATATTCATTGACACAGAACTCCACAACATATATTGTGGAAGAGCACTTATATTTGATCACTTATCTATACATATATCTATCTGGGTACACATTTACAGAGAAGTATCCAGAAGGGCACTCTTCGAAGGGCTGACAATGTTTATAAAAGGATGGAGAGTTTCCAGTAATTTGTATTTTCCTTCATTTTGTGAAGGTTTAACAGAGTTATATTCCTTTCATTAAAAGATTAGTCATCAAGGAAATGGACACACACACAGAATAGACCCTTAGGCAGACAGAGGAGGGAGCAGGGACAGAGTTGAGGCCATCCCCTCCATTTTGGTGGCATCTAAGACCTTTTCTGCCCAAAATAAAACCACTTTGTGTATTAATTAATGCAGACAGACGTCTACTTCTCCCCACCCTGCTGTTTTTCCCACATGAATACAGTTGACGCTTCACTTAGGGCTCATTCTAATACCTTACTAAAGGCCCAGAGAGGTCATTGTGTTTGCCAGGAACCTCTTTTGACTTCTTCTTCTCTGTATGTGTCAGCTCCAGCAGGGTGATGACGAGATTCTCAATCACCTGGGCCTTGTTGCTCTCACTGTTACAGGTTTCCTTTGAGTGGCCCTCCTCACCACAATATGAACATAAGATTGTGTATTTTCATTTCCTGGCTCTACACACATCCCCAGGACCATTATTCTTATACCCAGAACCCCCACTGGTGCAAGGAGATTGAGCCCGGGAACTGTTGGTGCAATCAATGACAAGTATTGGATCAAGAAGTCTGGCCCTGCCTCTGAGGGGTGGGGCTTCCAGGGATGTAAGTAGAGGGTCCTGAGACTCCACCAGGATCACATCCTCATCTGAGTCATCAAGGGTATCACCTACCTCTATTACGTTGCAGTCAGTGCCACTGATTGCTATTGGCTGGGGGCCCTGAAATACTACAGGGCTTGCTGCCCTCTCCAAGATTACCTCAGACCTCTTGGGTCGCTTTGGTTTCATAAAAGTGTCATTCCAATCCTCTTCCTCCCTTATCATCTTGATTAACTCCAAGAAACTAGGAAGATGATCCTGATCATTTGCATATATCCTGAGAATATGTTTCAGCCTAAAGTGCAGGTCCCTAATTCGCTCAGCTCCTAAAAGGAGCTGCTGCAGGTGAGTCTGGTTGGCATCTTTCTGAGCTATGATCCCTGCCTGAATAGCATTCTGAAGCTGCACTTCCAAACAGATCACATAAAGGAAGGCTTTCTCCCCTTGTGCATGCAGAGTGTTAAAAAATTTACCATGAGTGGTGACACTGCTTTCAGACTCCCCAAACACCAGTTTCATTGCCCACAAGAAATCAGCCACACTTAGATTGGGGTTGGTGGCCTGGAGCAAACACATTACCTCCCGGGCCGGATCCCTAACTGTTTTCATTAAGCGTTTGAGCTTTTCCTCCTCAGACATGTTCCAATCAGGCAGGACCCCATTGACTTGGATCAGCCAGTTTTCAAAGGTTTCTTCCCCTTGGGCTGGTACCACTCTCCCGAAGAACAACTTCACATTTCTTTCTGCCATGTGGACCTTTAAAGGACCAAGACTCCTCCCCAGGGACCTCAAAATTGAAGGGGCCCAAGGTGGCAAGGGTGTGTTTTGCCACAGCTGTTACCTACTGGTGCAATGATGCTAGCCATGACGGATGACGGTCATCTATCTGAATATAACAAGGTGCTCAGACTTTTTAGAAAAGCCTAATCTGTAGGAGGAAGCAATGTTCTCGGGCTCTGCCTTCCTTGTCTCTCAATAGGGACTGTAAAGAAAAAGGGGGAAAAAAGGTCAATAAGGCAGTAGATTGCAGGGAAGGGGTCTGCAGTCACTTACTTTAATGAACACCCTGTAGTACCTTTTATATTTGTCCACTGACCTAAAAATAGCCTGCAGGAGACTGGCAATTACAACTTTTCTCCAGCTACCAGGGGTCCTCCTGCTAGCAGGGTTCCTTTCAGAGTTACATCCATCCCTTCTGGCCAGTCTTCCAGGAGGGAGGGCAACTGTTGCTTTGAATTCTAGGTGAAATAGTGTGTGTGGAGCTGTTGTTGGGCTCTCAGAATAAGAGTGCAATGGTCTAAATCTCATAGATTTGTGATAATAAGAGGTAATAAGATACCCTTGTCATTGTGTGTCAACTATACTCATATATAAAAAAAATTAAAGATATCTGTTAAACTCACGTTTCAGATCTCAACCACACACCCTTTTCAAAAGTTTCTCCCCTTATTTCTCGGATTAACATAAGCTTGGAAACAAGTGCACCCCCTTAATTCACTTCCAGCGTCTGCAGCAGGTGCCTTCCGTGAAAAAGCTCGCCTTCGGGGTAGGTCGACCTCTGTCCACTGGGGTTGCAGATCCCAGCCCTGATCTCCGTCCAGTGGGGTTTGCAGATACCAGTCCTCAGGGCGTCAAGGCTGTGTCGGTCCTGTAGGATAGGGCAGAAAAGGGAAGGGTCAGAAGCAGCCTCATCCCTCGTCCCACTCCCTTTCCCTACCTGCACCCCCAGCTCCGCTGTAGCTAGACAGGAAAATTCCATCTCCCAACTTCAGACAGAAAATTCCCTCTCCCACCTTCTGAATACAAGTCAAAGTGACCCCTTCCATTACATGTCCCCTGGGAAATTGTTGGCCTACCAGTTCTGCAATCAGCTGCACAGAATTCAAGTTCCGATTTGGCTTTGATGGCCTGCCACGGAGAAAGGGAGTAAGAGTTGGACACGCACCCCCACATATTCCTCCCCAGGAAGAGATGGGGAAATGCAAAGGGGATTCAAGGCAGACAGCTTGGGATCATCTCCTCCTTGTCCCTTACGACCCCTCCCTAAAAACGTCCCCCCTTTCAATCCAGGCAAATCCTACCCATTTGGCAGCACCCAGGAAAACCCTACCTCCTCCCTCGGCGCAGTGGGGCCATGGGAGTGCTCCTTCCCCGGCCTCGCAGTTCTCGATTCCCCAAGTGGGGAGCCGCCCAGTACCGGTGGAGCTTCCCCTTCCTTTCTGCGCGCCCAGTAATCGCGCCCCGCAACTCTTTACCCCGGCTTTTTAATTTTTTTTTTTTTTTTTTTTAATCTGTGCTGTGCTGGCGGGCAGCGGATGCTCCGGTGTGGACAGCTGCGGATGCCGCCTTCCAGTCCCCGCAGCCCTGTAGAGGAAAAGGATGACGCCTTCTCCGCAGCTGAGCTAACCGGAGCTGCCGGATGGAGCTGCACCGCACAGCCGCCCAGTCAGGGGGTAGCCTAGTCAAGGCTGCACGGTTCCCACGGCAGCCGCGGCCGCCCCCGCCCACCGGCTGGGCCCTCCCAGCAGCCGCCGCTTCAGTTTGCCACTGCCCATTGACACAAAAGAGCTTGATGAGCGGGGCGGCGCGGCCAATCAGCGGGGCGCGGGGGCGACCTCCCCCTCAGCCTCGGGCCCCGAGGCCATTGCTAGCAAAAAGGGGGAGCGGGCAGACTGGGGCTGGGGCACACGGGCGCGGGAGCCAGCGCGGTGTCAAGTGCAGCTCAGACGCACCGACCAGGCCGATTTGCATTTTACCCGTGAGTTTGCTGTTTCCTCTTCTCTTTCTTTCTCCCTCACCCCTTCCATCTCGACTCTCCTCCCTCCGCGCTTTGAGACCGGATGCCTTAAACACGAGGTGGGACAGAAATCAAGTGAACAATAAAAGCCCCTCACGTTTGTATAGGGGGAAGGGGAGAAAGCATTTACTGAGCACTTTCTGCAGGCGAATGCGCTTGCCCGGACGTCTCATATATATTCTCAGCAGCCCCGCAAAGGAGGTAGCGGTGTGCGGGTTTAACAGAGAGGGCACTTCACCACTCAGGCAGTGGGGTGAGGAAGGGCAGAGCTAAGAGATCACACCCAAGTCAACACATCCGATTTCAAAGGCCTCCCCTTGTAAACACGCCTTTTTACTCTCAGATTGAGGGTTAGTAGAGAAAAGCCAAAGTGGAGATGGGAGGGGCTATTTGGAACTATATAGAATTAGTGAGCAAGGACTATTAATCTCCATTGTACAGATGAGGAAACAGAGAGGTTCGGCGTCTTGCCCAGCATCACACAGCAAATAAGTTTCAGCATCCGATTTTGCATCCAAGCCTATTATTTTAATGTTAACTATTTGCCCAGCTGAACTGCCTACTGAATATTTTTACGTTGGTGGTCTCAAACCCACCAGCAGTCTTGGCAGGATGGGAGTGTTGAGTGAGAGTGGTTGGGGGAGGCAGCAGGGAGTAGGGAAAAGAGCCTTAGGCAACTTTTGCAGGAACCATTGTACAGAAGAGGAGACTAATGCACTTTTCATTCTCATTTTACAACATTTTTATACTACAGTAAGCTGCCAGTTTATTAAAAAAAATTCTACAGCTTATGAGCTCGAAGGAAACAAGGCTCAGAGGTGAAATGACTTGCCTGAAAGTACAAGGTGGAGCCAAAATTTGGATCAAATCTCTCTGACACTAGAACCCATGCTATTAACCAGAGTATGGGTACAAGACTGGCTGCCTCAAAATCATTTTGGAAAGCTTGTTAGAAAGGCAGATTCCTGAGCTCTACCTCTGGGGGGATTCAGATTTATTAGGACTAGGGGTGGGGAGTGTGATTTATATTTGTAACCAGTGCTGTAGTTAATTCTGAGGTGTAGAGAAGTTTATGAATCACTGCTGGAAACACCACATCACGCTGAGGGTAATAAGCAAATGGCCTGCTGCCAATATATCTGGCCACACAGCACATCGGTAATGACACGTAACTCCACTGAGCAGAGGTTCCTACCTAGGGTCCTTTCTGAAATCGTTTACAAAGAATTTGGACTCTGCGTATTTTTCTGAGTTCTTAGTTTTGGAGATTTTCAAGGAAGTCTGTGGCCCAGGAGTGGTTTAAGAATCATTCCCCTGTCATCTTTCTTGGTAACATCTTCCTCTGTCAACTTGCACTTCAGGAAGAAGTATGAGAAATGAAACAGTTTGACCTAACCCCTGATCCCCAGCTTTCTACTGCTGATACAGCTCTTTCATTTCCTGGCTTGAGGACATGTTGCTAGGTTGCCCTTCTGTGAGCTCTTGAGGGGACCTCTCCTTTGCTGGATTTGGCATCACTGGCCCCAGAGCAGGAGCAACTCCATGGAAACGGCATGCAGGGCTGTCCTGCAGGGCTGCCAGCTTGAATGGGCTGTGATGCCAGTGGCTGGGAAACCGTCTCTATATTCTATGACTTCTGGTTCTTGGAGAGCAGGTCTTACTTTTCTGATGTAAATTGTGGTTAAAAGGTCCCCTGCAGGGCCTGTTCTGGACTCCTGATGCTTGCAAGCAAATGAACAATCTAACTGCTGTTAGGTTCATTTTCAACCTGCCAAGGTACTTCTCCTGATGCTCTTTTCCGCCTTCTCGTTTGACAAACCTGATACCTGGAGTTCCTTGAAGTAAACACTTCAAATTTGGAGATGAGGACTTTTATCTGAGGACTGTGGCCTTTCTTTTGTGGATGGGACAGTGTGGGGTAGGTGGTGGAGGCTGGAGGGTGTGGGAGGTAGAGAGAAGGCTCTCCTCACATGGTTGGGGTGATGCCGGCAGTAGCTCTTGGGTTTCCTTCAGAATTTTGCTTCTGCTCCCCAATGCCATGACATCTGACCCTGAGTCTCAGCAGATTCTTGTCCTGTGTTTAAATTAGCTTCTCTGCCAACTGAGGTGATCTGCAGCTGGTGGGGATGGGATCAAATAGGACAAAGAATAGATCCTAGAGTTCTGACCACCCCCCCAAAAAAAGTGAAAGGAAATGGATTGTGTAAAGGTGTCTGGATTGGGCCCTTCAAACAAAGCGAAGATCTCTTTGGGCAAGGCTGAGAGGAGGATTTGCTAAGCTGGCTCCACTTGGATACAGAGCATCCCTTATCTCTGGCTTCATGTATGGGAGCGTGTTCCAATTCATGGCTCTAATGAGACCACATTTTCCAATTTCAACAAAGAAACCTTAAAAGCCTGACTGTTAGGGAGATAAAGCTTTTCAGCTGAAACAATAATAGTTTTCCTTGGCTGCCTGCCTCCCCTGTGCCGGGAACTTTCCATATGTTATCTCATTTAAGCTTCTCAGCAGCTCTGTTAGACATTGTTACTCCATTTTGAAGGCAGGGAACCTGAGTTTCCTGGAAGTTAAGTTACTTGTATGAGGCCACACAACTTAGAAGTGGAGACAGGGGAATCTAGCCCTCTTAGGGATGTCAGTCTCCAAAGCCCATGAACAAATTTGCTCTGCTGTCTCCCAAACAAGCAATTTAAAATGAACTCTGCAAAAGACCCAACCCAGTATGTTAGACTGATTTCAACCTTTAGAAAAAAGTGTGGTTGCAATCTAATCTTTCTTTCTGGGATCTCTTTTTTAAATGAAACTACTAATATAATTTAAGGAGCAATTTATATACTGAGTACTGTGCTAAGAATTTTATATACTTCATCTCGTGCAAGCTTCATGACAGATAAGGATACTGAGGCTTAGAGAAGTGAAGAGACTTGGCCGAGGTTATATAGCTAGCAGGTGGCACAGGGAAATCCATACCCAGGGCTGTCTGACTCCAGAGCCTGTGTCTTTATGCTTTACCACATTGCAGTGGGGGAAGAAAATATGGCCCTTATTCTAAATCCACTTATCTCCGT